GTCTTAATATGATCGTTAATATTGGTTGCCTTACTATAATGGTTGTATCAATATAATAATCGCTCAAAAACCTTTGTTACCTTTGATGCCCAGCTAGACATAATAATGATGCCATCAGTTTTGCAATTCTATATTTTCTTTGAGATATTGCTACAACGTTGGTTAGATAAAATAGTCATTGATCGCGATATGAAGGCGAAACTTAAATGGAAGCCCAAATTCATCAGCTTTTTAAAATTTGATATGAAAGTTGGGGGATGATTTTTGGCAGGATGTGTTGGGTTCGCGGGGTATCGAAGTTCTTTTTATGGATGTTATGAACTGAATAGAGTAATCGAGTTAGCCTAGAGTCGAGATTCTATTGCAGCTAGCCGAGCTGGTTGGCTCTAATATTGCTAGACAGTAAATTTACTCAGCTGCATACATTCAATTTGGGGCACAACACCAGCTCTTGACCGGAATAATTTGGTGGTACAAGATAGTTTGTGCTTCACATTTTTTTCTGACATAATCCTTTTATTGCATGTTTGTCATTCTGCCCGTCAAACACGACAGTTTGTACAAATATTAGCTTAGTGTTGTATAATTTTTTTTTGGTACCATTTGTTTCTAAGATATTTTGGATGCTCATGAACATAAGAATTTGTAGATAATTGAAACTATGTAAATAAATTGTAGCTCTGTTTTTTTTTTCCTTTTTTTATTATTGCTATTATTTTATTTGTTTAGCCGTTTTTTATTATCTTTTGATCAAAGGTATGTTTGGGATTGCATTTTAATGTGGTAAAATTGCCTTTTTTAATTATTGAATACATATGTTTATTTTAGATTGTAGCTTAGAAGCATCTCCAAATAGTTGTGTTCTTTATAGAATAAAAATAATATTATTAGATATATTTTTGTCTTAAAGATTCTTTTAATGAGAATCAAATTAGAATTAACTTTGTTTCAATTAAAACTTTTGATATCCATTTCATCTTATAGTTAATGTATTTGATATAAAATTTGAGATAATTTTATTAAATACCTACATTCATCCAAAAGTCTATTATAAATGTTTATGTAAATGTATTATACATTTAATTAGTAGCTCGGTCCATTCTCGCGTAATTTTTAATCTCGGCCCATTATTGCTTAATTTCTTAAGCTCGGCCCAATACCGCGTAAGAAGCGCGTGCAAATCACGTGCGCCATAGCACTCCGCGTAAAGAGCCCGTACGCGTAGATTTTACGCCCGCCATAGCCTATATATATATAAGCGGGAAAAATCATTGCCATTGTAACGATCAAACAGCGATGGGTTAACGAAGCAATTTGGCAGTGGATGCCCTCCGACAGGTACAAATGTTCGTCAAATGGGTCGTTAATGATCTAGAAAAACCCTAGTTGTTATGGTTTCTTATTTAAGGGAAAAAAACCCTAGCTGTTCTGTTGCTTCCATAGTCCATTGATTGACGATAGTAGCTCTTTGTCGAACCTCATTCCTGTAATAGAAGTTTTCTGGAGGAAGCAGTTCATTGAACCAGATGAAAGCTTATGGGTTGCGGTGCGACTAAGAATTTGGATGGGTGGATCTCACCGGAACGAACAACGAGAGGAAAACCTAGACCAAGCGGGTGGAACAGCTCTTTAAGTTTATTGGTTGGATGAGTGAAGCGAGTCTTCTGGGACTTATCAAAAGAAGTAGGTTTGAAAGGTGGATGTTAAATTTCTTGAGGGAGAAGAGGTAAAAAGAGATCTTAATAATTATTTGCCTAGTATTGCATAACTTTTGGGTGATAAATTGAGAGAGGTCTCAAGGGAGTGGAGGCGGCATAGGGTGGGTTGGATGGCATTTATTTGGACTGAAAGTTAATGGGGGAAGCAAAAACTGAGATGGAATTTACTATTGGAAAATAGAAAGGTAGGGAAAAATGAATTATGATCAAAGGAAGTGGGACGGGGGTAATGGTGGGCTTGAAATAGTTTCAACACTAAGTGTAAAGAGTTAGGCATCTTGAGATGGTAGAAGAGAAAAAAAAAGGGTGTGGAGATATTCAACATTATTAATACAGAGTTGGTATAGTTTCTAAGGAAAAAGTTGGAAGATGGAAATAGGAAAGCTTTGTGCCCATGGAAAAGGCTTTTTGTTAAATTTAAGAGAATAAAAATATTCCGATACCTTCAATAGTGCAATTTAGGTCTTCTTATATAGGAGAAAGACCCACTATAATAAGCCTACTACAAAAAGGAATAGAAGACCCATAATAAACAACAATTAAAGAAATAAAAACAAGAAAGTCTAATGAATATTCCAACACTTTTGATGTGCTTTTTTTGTGGTAATTCAAATGTTAAGGTAGGGATATACTATTCTCAATGGCCTCAAATTAATTTTTAAAATATAGCAATTTGCCAATTTCCATTTCTCTATTTAAATTGGACTTTTGTAGAGATGGGAAAGATTGGGTGCCATTTGATTCAGCACCCTATTGTTCTACATCATCATATATGATGCTGCCTCTCCTATTCTTCATGAAGTAGTTGCTTCCCGGAACTCCCTGAATATTACTGTGGAACAGGTATGAAAGAAAAACATCAGAAGTAAGAAATATTGTTAGAATTTAAGCTTTTGGTATTTTTAAAGTCAAGTTCCACATTTATTCAAGTAGAACACATGCCAATTACTTCTCTGGATTAACAACTTCATGCATATATGGGTGGATGATGGAGTTTTTAATTTTTAATTGCATTGTGCATATCTAGTAAAGTAGACGAGGATGATATCGTGTAATCTTTTCAGATGTATAAATACTAGCATGTGAACTAATATTTGGTTCTGTAGCATTTTCCCAGCCTACTTTCTTTTTATATTCACTTATATATGAGCTGTGAAAAACATGAAAATGAGAACTTTCAATCTTTGAAGGGGACAGAATCTTTGATTGCAGACCCATAACCTATATAATATGTAGACTATTGATCTTATGATGTGTATTGGGGTACACATGATCTACTAAGCTAATGGAGCACTATTCCACGGAGATATAACGTGTAAGTTACATATAGATTATTTGATGTGCTAATAATGTTCTCTAGGCATGTATCTACAACCTATTTCAATTAGTTAAAATCCCATCTAACAAAACACATTATTACCACATCAAGTAATTACCCTCTTCTCAATCTCTCCAAAATCAAGTTAGCTTTCTTTTTTAGTTGACCAAGACTTTGATTTGCTTTTTTATTAAAAAAATTAATTGATTGGGATTTTTTTTAAATATTGTAGTTGCATGCAGAAGCTGGGAAAGGTCCATTTGAGATTGAGAAGAGGGTAACCTATATAGTAGATAGAGCTATAATTGACTAACTTTCTGCATGATGTTCCAGGTTTCATGGGCTCTACTTTATTGTAAAAGATGTTCATAAATTGAGCAACGTACATGGGAAATAAAATTTGAAGAAAAAAGAGTAATCAGGGAAAAGGAGGATGAGTTGATATGACTTTGAATCAAAATTGGCAAAACTTATGCTTGTATGGGGGAATATAATAGCCTAGTACAATAGGTTAGCTTTGCAATGATGTAATTGTGGATCAAAAACAAAAAATAAATGCGGATATGGTTGAATGGTAAAATTTCTCCTTGCCAAGGAGAAGATGCGGGTTCGATTCCCGCTATCCGCCTAGGATCAGGATGATGGGTTTATGTTTTTATAAGTTTGTTGAATAAATGTTTGCTGATATGACTTCCCAAACATGTATAACCCACCAAGTACAAAGAATGGCAGGACCACCCTCTTGAGTATCATCAACTGATGTGACAAACCTGGTATTAGATCTTTCTTCAATATTGTTGCCTTTTGGTGTGCAATTTACTTTCTTATACTAGCTTTGTGGTTGCTAGATTGGTTATCAACTAAGACTTCTCTAATTGCACATTTCACCTAATTGTACATATCACCTACAAACCATTGTTGCTCTCCATTAGCCATATTCATTCGTGGCAAATTTTGGAGCTCTCCTTGCAGCCATGAGCACTGAGCAGAAAGCAGAAATCTGTAAGTGACCTATGATGTAACATTCAATTGCTCTATTTTATTTTTTTCATTTTATTTCAGATATTAACTGCTCAATGGTCAGTTCCTAGTGGAATTAGTCAAGTTGCTGAAAATAAATCTAATGGATGTGGGAATGGGTATTCTCTTAGAGGTATGTATATCTATCTTATATTTGCTCATTGAACTCAAAATACTTGCAATATCTGTTGTGCAGTCATTTGCATCTCCTTGCTGCATGTTTATAATTTTGTGATAGATTATTGCAACAAACCTTCAATGATGAATTCAAGAGTTCATTTATGGGTGTTGAAGAGAAAATTAGTTTAGAAATTGTGGACCGGTTATTTGCTTTCTCTCTCTTTTTGGGTTTATTTCCTGAATCTTTAGAACTTTGATTGTTCTTATTTTTTATTTTTATTTTTTTTCCTTTTCGACCAAATATCCATATGGTAAGGATCTAGTACTTAAACGCTGTCTTAAAAATTCTGGCATTTCTTTCAACCCATAAGCCCCCGACCCCAAGCTATCTTTGTACAATTCTTAAACCCAAGACAAGAATGTCTCAGAGAGAACTCAAATGACTTGTTGCACTATTGTTAAACACCTAAGACAAGCTGAAATTTTGGAGAACTGCTCCCCAAAATTCCTACGTACTGACATTGTAAAAATAATGGTTGGAGTCTTAAGTGGCTTTTAAATAAAGGTGGCACACATTTTGACTTGGTCTCCAGTTGGGCACTTCTTCAGCTGTTATTTAAGCTCCTTTGAAGTATTGCCCATAAAAGGTCATTCACCTTCCTCAAGTATTAGTTTGAGTATTAAGTTTTCCCCTGACGTAACCTAGACCAATGCTTTGAGTTAGCATTTTTGCAACTCTTGCTGGAATTAAGGATTGTTTTGCATAATTAAAATTTCCAAAAGTTGTATATCGATAAGAGGAATATAATTGGAGGTAGCATTAAGTTAAATAGGTAAATTAGTAGAAGTGGACAATAGAGGTAAAAATCAACATGCTTGGGCAACTCAAAGCATTAAGTTGAAATGGAGTTTCGCTCGCTACTCGCTGCTCCTGCTCTCTCCCTATCTTCTCTGTTCATCCTCATCCATCTGTTTCTTCTTCCTGCTTAGGGTTTCCAATTCATTTTGTGCTCCCCATTCTCGAATCTCGATTAGGGTTTCCCACTCTCACCTTCACAAATGGATGAGTCTTCGCTGCAACTTATCTTCGAAACACACATTTGCCCTACCAAGGATTCAAATCCCTTCTGGTAATTTTTCTGCCTTCAATTTTCTTTGCATTTCTGTTTCCGAATTTCTATTCAATAAGTCTGACTACATTGTCATCGGGAGTGTTCTCTTTTACTCAATGTAGACTGAATCAGTCAACGATAGTCTTTGTTCATCTGTATTCATGGGTATTCTTCGTTTCCGAACCAAATAAACTCCTCCCAATCTTCACCCTCATCAAATTTGCTTCTGCTTAGGGTTTTCATGCTCCCCATTCACGATTAGGGCTTTGCACTCTCACATTCACTGCAACTTATCTTCAATCGGCGCTACATTCAGCATTGCCCAACCAAGAATTCAAATTCTTTCGGGTAATTTTTCTGCGCATTTCCATTTCCGAAGTTCTCTTCAAAAAGTCCGACTACATTGTCGTTGAGAGTGTTCTTATTCTGAATAAGTCAGTCGATGATAGTCTTCGTTCACCTATATTCGCTGCTATTCTTATGAAACAGTTGTTTTCGCGTTACTTAATCTTGCATGCAGAATATGCTGGATTTCTATGGTTTCAGCACTACTGGCCGACAAGAATCTGAAATTTATATATGTCGAGCAGGTATGTTGTTCTTCATTCTAGTTTTGAAAATGAGTATCAGTAATATAATAATTTTTGGGTTCTGAGAAAATAATCCATGCCATTGGAAAAGCAACAAAAGATAATGGATAATCTCTAGACATTTTTTCCTAGCTCCCATTCTGCGGTGGAATTTTTTCCTTGTCGCTTGTCTCTTCCTTGACTACTAGGATGTATTTCAATGTTTTATGGACAGAAACCTTGTTTGTCTTTTATTTCTTCCCTAGCCGACGACTTGTAAAGTTTTCAAAAATCATGATAAAAGGACCCTCTTTAATCATATCTTATGTCACAAGTCAAATAGATGGCCGCTATTATCAAGACTTGCAAAGTGGCAGTTAATTGGATGATTTTTTATAATACTTGATAAAATCAAACTTCTTCTCCAGGGCATTTTCAAAAAACATATTTTCCATCTTCTGCTTGCTAATCATTACACTTTCACTTCTTTTGTTAATACAGACATTTTTCCAGAGATGGTGGGCAGATCAGAGTGAGATTGTTTAGGATGTAGTCAAGAAACTAGTTAGCTCGGCTCAATTAGAATTCATGTAAAAATCATTATTACTTTTCATGTCCGTGTTTGAAGCTCATGAGCTTATCGTTGATATGTTCTACTACGTTTCAATGAAAATTTTCAATATTATCATCCATTTTGAATTCTTAATCTTAATCTTCCCTATGCAGAAATGGGGGCATGTGTATGCATGATGAGGCAGCAACACACTACATCGACATGATTGATCAAACAACTCTTGGGCATAGATTTATAAAGGAAGAATTTGGTGTCACTCCTATAGTTAGTTGGCAAATTGATGATCCCTTTGGCCATTCTGCCGTGCAGGCTTACCTATTGGTAGCTTGTTAGCTGCATTTTATTATATCAAGAAATCCTTTTTGAGGCAACACAGAAAATTTAAATCACAGTCTATTTAGAGTCACATTCCGAAGGAGAGCTTTTACGTGGAGGTAATTCTCTCTACAAACTATTGATAATTAAATTGTTGTCACTGTAGGTTGGATTTGACTCCCTTTTCTTCGGTTGGATAGATTACCAAGATAGAGCCGAGCGTAAAATTGAAAAGATCTTGAAGTTGTCGGTCAGGGTTGTAAAAGCCTTGGTTCATCTGCTCAGGTGAACTTATGTTAGCAGCCATCATAGGAATAAGCAAATGCTACTTTGGACTCTAGTCTCTAACTGGTCATTACGTGGTCTTTTAATTGTTTGTTTTCTTTAAAATCTATTTGAAGAATTTCTGGTTGCTTCATCTTTGTGATTACCCTTTTTGAATGTCGCAGATTTTTTCTGGTGCTTTCCCTGAGAACTATGAACCTCAATCTTTGTTTCCACTTTGAAGTTAATGATGCTTCCCCAATAGTTCAAGTAATCTCTTTTATTTTTTTATTCCCCCTAAACTTAATTTTCATCTTTGGTAAAAAATTATATTTTTATTATAACTGTTAATGATTGTGACACTAATTTCATCTCTGATATGAAGGATGATAGTAACTTGTTTGATTACAATGTTCAAGATTGAGTGAATGACTTTATTGCTGCAGCAGTATCTCAGGTAACCAATAAAAGTGTACTATGTTTATTTGGATTAACCTTTATATGCATATTTTGTAATCTTGCCCTTTTTTTCACTATGAAAAATCATCTTCTTTCGTACCTTCTCACTTATTCCTTCCTTATTTTGGAGAACTAGTTATTATCATGTGTACACATAACTTTTACGATTATTGTAGATATTTTGATTAGAAGTAATAATTATGGTTGAATGAATATTTGACATTTTTTTCTAAAATTCTGTTCTCCTTCAGTACACGTCATTGAATAATGCAATATTTGTTAAATCTCAATTAATAAGCATGCACTCATACATGTGATAGGTTCATATTTACAAATACTCATTCTCTTTACTATGTAGGAGGCTACTACTAGATGATTCTAGAGGTGTTGCAGAGGGCCAGACGGTTTAAATGAGACTGTTTTTTTTTAATATAATGGTAGCAAGATGACTGTGTCCTTTATTTCCCTCTCCCACCCTTCCCACTAATATATCGGATTTTGGGTTTAGCCAAGTTCATTCATGGCCAGCAAGGGAGAAACCTCCCAACACTCGAGGCTATAGAAAAGTTGACGTAACTAATTAATTCTAAAATGTTGATAAACAAATTAATAAATTAAATTAACTTGAAACTAACCACTTAATTAAATTAATCAGGTAACTCATAACTAACTGTTGTGGGTTAACCACGCACGGCCGACCTGGATGAAACGAGACCAGAAGAGTCGACCTGACAAGTTTGCTCCGACATCTTTGATGGACAAGGAAACCGTCAAGCCTCATCCTCCAAGACAGGGGATGGACCGGTAACTGCCAAGGATAGACAGTCGCTCGACAGGCCCCTGCCCGAGCAGTGAAATACACTGATGGGACTTACATCTACTCCATCTACCGCTATAAATACACCACTCACCCATGGCCCAGGTATGAAAAACCTGTCTGACCTATTGAGCTCGGCTTAAATACTGACTTGAGTGTCGGAGTGGCTTACCTCCTTGCAGGTACCCAAAAAATCGTTCTAAGTACCGCCAGCCGACCTCTGAGCTCGTCTTCCATACCTCAGCAGGATTTTGCATCAATAATAATATAATGGTTCTTTTTTCCCAGATCACTAGGTATCTCTTCTTCTTTTGTTGATCTTGTCTTTGTTTTGTCCACTCTGATTTGCTATGGTGCATTACTTTTAGCCTTTACATTTTACATTATGCTTTATGCTTTGCAGATTCAAGGAAAATTATATTATAGAATCGACCCATTAGGAGAGGGGCAGTAGGTTATTTCTCCCCTTTTCCCAGCGTCGCTGAACAGGTGAATATTGGAGGAAGGGAAAAGGATAAGTTATAATATTATTAGATTATTCTTTGCTGCATCGCTAACTTCAAACACCCATCTTCATAAGCGTTTCTATCTAAAATTCAACTTGTTGCTTTCTTTCTTGTTTTCATCAGGAACTTCATTCTGGTGTAAGTTTTGCTTCAGTGAATTTATTATAATAAGCTTGATTGACTATACTTTTTTCTGTTCCCTTCAGAGTTCAGATGACATGCAAATATTTGTGCTTCTTTTTTTTTTTTAATAAACCTCAAGTATATTCCGTTACTCCTTACACAATATTTTGTATATTAGTAATCGTGAATGGCTTTAGTTCCTCTTGATTTTTTGGATCAATTTTTAGAAAGGAAATTGCTGGGGTAAAAATTGAGGACTTTTTCCTTTTAATTTTTATTTTTTAAATAATTAAATATTTATAAGCTTGCTTTCGATTTTTACTCTTTAGAAAATAAAACACATTTAATCAGTAGCTTGGCCCATCCCTTCGGCCCATTACTCCGCGTAAAAAGCGCGTGCCACCATAGCCCTACGCGTAAAGAGCGCGTACGCGACCCCGCCATAGCCTATATATATAGAGGTGGAACAAACCAAAACCATCGTCATTTAATCAAACAGCGATGGGGATGAATGAAGCGATTTGGCGGGAGATGGCTGTTACAAACCCAACGTCGATGGAGTAGTTGAGGGATTTTCAGCAACCTTACAAATTTCTCAATATCTGCCTCGAATTTGATGCTCTCTCTTTGACCTTCTTCTTCCACCATGAAAATTCGTCGTAAACAATGAAATCTGAAACCTATTCGTCGCCAAACTGCTTTACCAGAAGCAGAGACGACCTCCCTGCTGCCTCTTCGAATTGATAATTGAAAACCCTAGTTGTTCTCTGATCGTCATATCTAACCCTAGTTGTTCAAACTATTTCTAATTTCAGTCGAAGAATGATGGATCAGTGGGGGATTTTCGGCAAATGCACTGACGATGTAGAAATATCTTGATCCCTACCTCGACGCTCTCTCTTCAATGTAGCTTTCGTCCAACGCCGCTGCGTTCTTCAGGTAAAGTTGATATCGGCGTTCTCTGTTCTTGTGGAGTTTGATCTTTAATTTTTCTCTAGATTTTCTGAAATTTGGATTAAATTGGTGTTGTAGTGGTTTCTTGGAGAGAAGGGAAGCTGAAGAAAGAGGTAGATGAAAACTCTGTATGGAGAAATTAGGCAGGGGCCATGGGGAAATAGGCGGCGGAGATTCATGACTCATGACTCCGCCCGAACTTACGACAGAAAAACTCAGAATATCCGTGGTAAAAAAGCGAAGGTTCATTTCCGCATGAAGACAATGGATATTAGATTTAAGTTCAATGCGAATCCTCTCCACCGACGGTGGAGCGACACAATTCTCTTGTATTGGTTTACCTTGACTCTCCTGTTGAAACGGCAAGCAGTGAGTAACCTCTCTGGCGCTTCTTTGAGTTGATAAGAAAAATGCCTTATTCTGATTTCACCTTCCTAACTAAATAACCAAAGAACTATTTCTGATTTCATCGACTCTCTCTCTTTCTGATTCCATTATTATCGATAAGAAAGTGAAAGTCCAAGCTTATCGCTGAGAATTTTAATCTTATTATCCGAATCCATAGGCAAATGAAATAGAGGAGAATGGGTGCTTCTAAGAACTCAAATGTTGAATCTTACGTGAACGCAGAACAGGAGGAAAACCGACCAGGCGGGTGGGCAACTCTTTATTTTCTTTAAGATGGTTCGTGGGATTCATCTCTGTTCCTATTGCTTTTTAATTCTGGATAGGGTTTCTGCCAATCTCCAATCTTCATTTTTTTTGGTTATGTAGCTTTTATCAGAACGTGTATCAGCATTGACGTGGGAATCGAGCTTTGTTGTTCCTCTCCTCCAATCATGGTAGCTATTATTCAAGTTTTTTTTTTTCATTTTACCCCATCGGGAGGGGTTGGGGTGTGAGGGGGTGGAGTTACTTCAGTGATGAAAACGTCGAGGGAGATTAAGCTGCTTTCAATGCTTCCCATACTTCTTATTACTAGTTTTCTGAACTTGACCTGGTTATAAAACATCATAAGCAGTCCTCTGGACCCCAATGAAATACTAAGGATTTTTAATTTTTCATTTTCAGTTTCAAGATATTCATTTTCATTTCATTCTACACACTGTTGAATTCAGTAACACTTGATTTCAAGTTCTCGTTGAAGCTGAAGTATAGTAATTCACTATGTATGAATCTATGATTGAGGAGAGTCCCAACCTTCTACTCTCAGGGTTTTCACCACTTGGTCTTGCTGCAAGTTGGAGGGAAGGCCTTATCAGGTCGTGAGAAGCTTTGTGCTTCAACGGGAGACTGGTTCTAAGGTATCTTTTGTTTCCCATTCAAATAAAGCTAGAAATTTCAAAAGCCTTTTAAAAGCAATTTAAAATATTGGAGGCTACTAATCTTTTTTATTTTCTAATAATTTTTAAAGAGAAACAAACCTCTCATTGATGAGCTACAAGTCACCAATACAAAATTCTTACTTAACTAATCATCCAAAACCCGACAGCACCCTTCTCCTCAGCCCTATTTCATAATCAGCGTGATGCCAATGAAGATAAAAATCCTTATTTGTTCATCTTTTGTTTTTCCTCCCTCGTTTATTTTCATTGCTTTCTTCCTTTCCCAACTCTATCAGCATTCATTACCATCTTATTTTAATCTTGCATGGTAGACCTTGAAACGTATTTTAAATGGTTATGTTTGTTACATTGGGAGATTTGCAACATAACAATATATATATATATATATATTTTCCAGTAGACTTCTTAACATTTTTTTGCACTTGTGCAACTACCTTTTAGGATGACTCTGAAACTATTGATAATTGATATGATCAAAGAGCTTTCGGAGACCAATATTCGAGATATAATGAGTAAGTTCCCTTGGACTCAGTTAAAGGTGTTTCTTAAAATACATGATTGCTTATATCTATTGAAGTTCATACGTCACTCTAAGATCTGACGTTGAATTTAGATTGATGTATCATTTAGAGTGATAAGTAGCCTGCGATGATTGTGTTTTAGTGGGAAGCATGTCCAATTTTCCAATTGCACTAGGCAGGTTCTTGTGATATTTTTTATGCTGGCATTACATGATACATAGAGCTTCCTACAAGCAAACAATCAACTTCTGGTTGATAAACAATAAATCTAAAAATAATTAAGATCAATGCCTCTAATAATCCTACATAAAAATTTAATTGTCATTTTGTTGTTTCACAAAATTTATCCAAAGCGAAACATTACAGCACTCCCAACTAAATTTTTCAAAGGACAAACTTCACAGCATTAACCTTGGGATTCTTACTTTCCTCTTAAATGGATGAGAATAATTTAACTTTCTTTTCATATTCTCTAGTTTGAAGCCTCCATACCTTTTAAATATCCCGATCAAATTTTGGTAGGATAACATCTCTTAGAGGGAACCCATTAAGCTGTTTGGGCAACTTTAAACAATTTTCTTGAGTACAATTCTAGTATTTGCCCAAACTACAAATGTGTACTCTTTTTAAGCTACCAATTTATGTAAAATAAACTGCAATGCTATATCAACTTGTCCCAACAATTACTTCCTTGTTAAGCTTCTTTTTTTTTTTCCATGTTGATGTCGGTTGCTTGAGCAAATTTTTGTTAGTATACCTTCCCTTTGAGACCATCCATTAGGCTTGTTAAGAAGCTTGACTGAGATTCGCGAGGACAATTATAACATTCACTCGAACTACTCAAATGAAAATGTACTATTATTTTTAAGCTACCTAGTTACAATAAATACTTTCTCGTTAGCCTCGTGCCAAAGTACATGTTTAGTTAAGCCAATTGTGGTCAGTATAGCATCTCTAGCATCTCTGAGAGGGAACCCAATTAAACTTAACTTGAACTCTTTGTTAAGTACAATTGTAACACTCACTCAAACTACTCATATGAATGTGTACTTTATTTAAGCTACCCATTTATGATAAATAAGCTGCAAAGTTATTTCGACTATTTCTTAGCCATTTTTTATAACTTTGGCCAAAAATAGTATCTCTTAGAAGAAATCATTAGGCTAGTTTAGCATCTTGAACCCTCCTCTCGAGTATAATTCTAACGTTCACTCAAACAATTCATATGGATGTGTACTCTTTTAGGGAACCTAGTTATGGTAAATAAGTTGCAAAGTAGTTTCAACTAATACCAGTAATTACTTCCTTACTGGTTCTTTTTTGTGCCAAACTTAACATTGTTTGGTTTCGCAAAGTTTGGCCAGTATAGCATCTTGTAGAAGGAACCATTAAGCTAGTTTAGCATGAGTCCTTCTCTCGAGTATAATTCTTAGCATTCACTCAAACAACTCGTATGGATGTGTACTCTTTTAAGCTACCTATTTATGGTAAATAAGTTGCAGAGTAGTGGCCATTTTTTGTGTGAAACTAACATCGTTGATTAAGCAAAGTTTGGCAAGTATAGCAGCACTTAGAAGGGGAACTTGAATCCTTTTTCGAGTTCAATTCTAATATTCATTCAAAATACTCATGAGGTGTACTGATTTTAAAGCTTTTTATTTATCGCAAATAAGCTGCAATGCCTTATCAACTAGTTCCTTAGCATTTTTTTTTTGTTTTTTTTTTTTTTTTTGCCATATTGTCATCTCTTGTGGAAGCAGACTTTTGTCCTTTAGAAAGGGGTACTCATTAGGCTTGTTGAGCAACTTGACCTATTTTCTCAAGTGCAATTTTAACATTCGCTCAAACTACTCATATAAATGTGTGTTCTTTTTACGCTACTTATTTATATGTGTTGGTGCAATAATCAGATCTTTTTTCCTAGAATAGAAAAGAAAATAGGTTTTAATTTGTGCCTACTTTTGATAAAAACATTTTTATTTAATGAAATAGTTGATGGTAGCACCTGTCTAAGTTTTTATGCTAAAGTTAGTCACCAAACTTATTGGCCTAAGATATTTGACTGCTTTAGCCCTTTATTTTCTCTAAATTAAGAAATTTTAATGGTTTATTTGACATGTTTAAAGGTTCAAAGCAGAATCACAATCAACTTGGAACTTTTTCAGCTAAGCATACAAAGTCAAATAGAGTTGAATGTTTAAATTGGACTGAGCTAAATTAGAGCTCTCTCTCAGGTTTGTGTGGTTGAGTTTAGTCTTCTTTTCTTTTTTCTTTTTGTTCGGTTAAGGTTTCATAACAAGTTGGTAAAATTGAATTCTTAGCTATTTGTTACTTGCAGTATTTTCCTATTAATTCGAATGGTTTTAAGCTAATGCTTTTTACTAGCGTTGTTACAGTGTACGATGATCTGTTTCTCTTTTTCTTCAAGAATCGAAACTAATTTGGACCATTCATATACATGCTACTTTTTACTGTGCTAAAAGTGGTTTTGAACTTTTTTTTTTTAAGTACAACATGTGAGAGTGTAACATCGAGTTCACAACCTTTTGGTTAGAGATATATACTAATCATTGTTGAACTATGCTCGCTTTTACGAGTGGTTTTGAATTGTTAGAGGTTTATCTTGACTAGAAATAGATTAAATGTGTACAACTTGTACATGCTTTTATATAACAAAAGATATGAATGCATTTATTAAAAAAAAAAAACTATTACTGAAACTTGAAATATGGAAGCCCCCATTCCCCCAACTTTTTATTATTACTGTTGTTTTTTTATAGTTGATATTTGATTAAATGTTTTACGTCACGCATTAATCCTTGAACTGCTTTATTTTAACATTAACATTTTCAAGTATATTCTACAGGTATTTTCTATAGATAAAATGAGAATTAAATAGTATTTTGGTCTTTTGTATTTTCAATTTTTATTCATTTTTTACCCCTGTATTTTTTAAATATCAATTTTAGTTTTTGTACTTTAGTTACCATTTTGGTTTCTATTAACAAAATTTTAATACAAATTTTATTTCCAATAAAAATCTTTTAATATATATTTATTTATTTCAAAAAATTTACTAAATAAAGTGTCATATTAAAATTTTAACTGAAATATATAAGATAAAAATAAACATGAAAGAACTAAGTTGAGCAATTGAGCAAGAGTTCAAAGTTCAATTGAGCAAGAGTTCAAATGGATCATCATATTTAATATTATTATTAAAGTATATCTATTTTTTATTTTTTTTATTCTATGGATCACATTAATTAAGTTTTCATGTATTAGAGTAACTTTGTTTTACAACTGAAATAGCAGGTCCATCTCTACTGGCTCCTTTTTAATAAAAGAAAATAGAATTTTCATGGCTTTCAACACCTCTGATTCAAAATTGATGAAACAAGATTTTCATTTATGTTCGAACAAATTGAAAATGGGAAAAGACACAAAGAAGTGTTTTTTGTTGTTCCAAAACATCTAAACAATTTTGAGAATGTTTCGAAAACATGAGTAACAAATAATATAAATATTGTCAAATGCAACAGACTGTAGAAGCCTAGAATTAACTACAATTGATTGCTTCTCACTTAAATGCTAATTCTTATTAGTTTTTACTGCAGCATTGGGGTGTCTTCCAAGCTCAAGTTACATTGAAAAACAGGTAATTGCTTCTATCCATATATGGTTGTGATAAATAGTGCAACAGTTTTTTTCAATTACTGGTTTACAGATTATATTGAATACTTTGTAATAAAATCTGAGTAGCCAAATCATGATAATTATTTATTGGTCTAAATAACTATTACTGTAGTTTTAAGCTTATATTGTAGATTCCATCTGGTTATCCTCAGCTTTAGATATTTAGCTTGGTGCATTCCTCAGATTTAGGGGAAAAATGGAACTTCCATAACTAATCATCCAAAAGACCCAACAGCTTCCTATTGCTTAAACCAGATTGCATGAGAAAGAAAGAACAAGCAGCATTAATTTCATATTAAGAATAATTACAAACTTTCTTGTAAATAATACACCAAGATACTTTTGAACATAAAAATTCTCCAGAGATAAATCAAATTACTTGTTGCTGTACAAATTAAACACCCAATACAAGCTGAAATTTCAAAGAACCGATGCCCGAATATACCTACTGTAACCGACATCAGACTTTCGAATTGTTTCAGCTGTATTTCAACTCCCTGGAAACATTGCCCATAAAAAATCATCCACCTTCCTTGAACCTTTAGGGCCAGTTTGGTAATATTTCGGTTCCGTTTCTTATTTTCAAATTTTTTAAGAAATTTAGTATTTTACAATTAACTTTGTTTCTTGTTTCTCATTCTAACTAATTTATTTTTCTTTATTTTAATGAAGAAACAGAAACTAGAATTAAGAACCTTATCAAAAGGGCCTTAGAAGTTTTGGAATAGAGGGACTTCCACTTTGAGTTTCCCAAAACATTTAACAGAAAATTCTCCTTTTTCTAAATTCCAATTCCACTTATCTGCTGCCCTTCCATTACACTTTATGTTTTGCTTAAGATTTACAGAATTTTTCCAAATTCCAATTCATCGTCCTTCAACTCCCTTCTAACGACTCACAGAACAATTATTCAACCACTCAAAAAATAATTGCTTTTCTTTTAATGTTTTTTGAACCACCCTCCAGCAGCATCCGTCCGATGCTCATCGACATTTCCATCGACATCTCTATGTATTAATATCAATAATTTTTAACTTATTTAAAAATTATGAAATACTTTTTTTTAGTACAACATGTGGGATGGGGGATCAAACTCACAACTTCTTGATTTGAGATATATATGTCAATTACCGCTTTGGTGAAATTATGAAATACTTATTTGTTAATTTAAATAGTTTTTACGAACTTTTTATTTTTATAATTTTTCCATAAATATCTATCAACATTGGAATTTTACTCATATTTCCATTTGATATTTCCATGAAATTGAGACTTCGATATTTCCATCRACGTCGACATTTAAAACCTTGTCTATGCTCACTAATGATCATTTTAGACCATTAGTTGAGTTCGTTAGACAAATCTTCAGTCTTTACAAATCTTCACAGTCTTTACAAATCTTCATTCTTTAATTTTAAGGGGTGTGTTGAGTGTCTATTCTAAAATACAGATCGAGTTGGTTTGTTGATAGTCCTCTTGCTATAATATGAAACTTTTTGTCCTCCCTCAGGTTTCAAAAACTTTTTGAAATGTGAGGCTATAGTGAAATTTGTTGAGGTTATTGAATAAGTTCAATCACTTGGTAGGTTATCTTGAAATTTCTTCAAAGGGTTTATTAAAAAGTGTTAGTAAAAGTTTGATTTTTCAATATCATCCATTTCTGCCCGAATTTTGTTAAGGATTCCACGTTGGACTTGAGCTACTTCCTTCCTTGCCAATTAATTTTAAGATGAATCTCATAAATATTAATATGGTATTACAGCCAAAAATTCAAAACGACCATCCTGTCCAAAAAATAGAATCCGATAAACGAGGAAGAAGAAAGGTAGGTTAGATTATCTCAAAATTGAAAGACTAAAGAAGCCACATAAATAATGAAGTAATATTGATTTTGAGATAAAATCAATTTATATTTATGTAAATATTAGAGCTCAAAAGCTCCAACGAGCCTCCAATCTCAAAAGTATAGGACTGGAATAAAATTTGTAAACTAAAATAGGATCCGGGTGAATCTAAAATAATGAAGTAAATGTAAAAAAAAAATAGAATCGGATTAAGATTGATGAACTAAAATAGGATACAAGCCAAGATTGGTGAACCTAAAATAATGAGGTAGATGTAAAAAATCAACTAATAAACGAGAAAAAAAATATGTTAGGTTATCTCAAAATTTGAAGCTTCATGAAAGTCACAGAAATAATGAATTAAATAACTGTTGCCAATAATAGATGTCGAGTGTTGACAGTCGAATTTAATGGCAATTCTGAAATTTTAATCTAAATTAATGGTCCACCAGGCAAAAAAATACAATTTGACTCCTATTTTACTATTTTTATTTCTGAGCCCTTTTCTTTTATTTTTATTTTCGACAAAATGGTTGTTTTATAAATATATTTCTTTCCTCTCTACTATTAGTCGTGGTAAATTTAATGTTTTTATTATATTCTTAATTCTCTTTTTGTAAATTTAATATATTCTTAATGCTTTTTGTGAGTTTAGATATTAATTAAATTTTAACACGTAAATCATTATTAATGTATGAGTTTGAGTATACGGCTAATAAGAACGTTGTCTGATATATTAATTTATTGTACCAAAAAAATACATCAATCTTACTCCAATATAATTTGAAAGTTCTAAGTTAATAATAATTGTAACGATTTTTAATATATTCTTAATAGATTATCTCTCCCATCACTTGTGGTAAAAAACAATTGATGGTCAGTGGAATGAAATTAAAACTCGGGGAGTAATTTAATTTGCTAAATTAAGTATAGATATTAAAATTATTAATTTAGAAAAAACAACTTTTTTCAATCTTAGATGGTAAATATTTAAATGTTTGTACTAAATTACTAATCATTTATGTCCTTCAAGAACTACCAAATGTCATCGTTGGATTCCCTCGAAAAGGAAGGGAAGATAGCTGCAAAAAAGAATTATTTAATCTTTAAATTATTGTAATTATTACGATGAAAAGTTTGATTTATGAATTACTGTTAATTCACGTGCTCGTTATTGTCTTTTTTGGACAATTCGTGATTTAAAAGTTTTTCCCCTTTCAGCTATAAAATATTTCTTATATTTTAAATTGTTCATCCTCTTTATTTATCTACCTTTTTATAATATAATAAATTAGGTTACCCGTAGCCCCATTATTGCACACTTTTATAACAGGTTAACTTAAGTCAATCAAGGTTTTTTTTCTTTATTAAAAAAAAGCTTTTTTATTTATTTTCAAGATAATTGATAGTGGAAAGATTAAAAATAATATAGATTACTTTGAACCAACTAATTTTTTGTTCGTTGGGTTGTTTGTATTGGACAAGAAGCTCTATTCAATGTCTTGAAGTTTTTTTAAATTTTAAAAAAAAAAGGAAAAAAAACTATAGTATTTTATGGTACGTTAACAAAGCCACTAACAACAAAGATAATTAATATTAATAAAATTATAGTATTAAAACAAAATTGGAATGCTTGTTTAAAAAATAGAACTTTCAAATGCGTCCAAAGATAAATTTGACACAAACAAGATCCAAAGATATAATTTAAAAAAATATATTAGCAAAATTTCATTAGAGTTATTTATTTATTTAGTACAAATCTTTTTAATTAGTGTTCTTTATTTATTTAATTCGACAATAACAATGGCTACAAATTGGGAAGGGATTGGGATTAATCCAAGACAACTTGACTTTATTGTTAATAAGTTTTTAATTAATGTCTTTCCATTTTAATTAAAAAGTTTAAAGTCCGATTTACTAGTTTTGTGAACTTTATTTGTTGGCTTGAATTTTCTAATTTAGCTAACTATACTAGCTACCTATACTAAAGTTTAGATCTAACTTTTCAAAAATTTAAGAAAAATAAATGAATTTTCAAGTTTAGATCTAAATTCTTACCGACTAAAGTTCATAAATTAAATACATAAATGTGCTTTTTTAACCATTTATTTGGAAAAGAAAAAAAAACAAAAGAGCTGAAATTATTATCAACCGGTTAATGGGGCCTACAGCATAATTCAGAAAGGGGAAATAGCAAAGAAATCTTAATTTTGGAGAATTATCGAAATGGACAATAAGAAAATGAACTGAAAATTCACGAGCAGACAGGAGCAGAATAACATAAATTACAACCTGGCCCTGATTTTCATCTTCAATGAAATCATCGTTGGGCCAGGGCACACGATGATGACAACGTCGGTGGTGATCAAATGGTGAAAAGATCAACGGTCACAAATAAGACACGAGTAAATCCGTCGGAAAATAGAAAGAAAAAAGAACAAAACAAAACAAAGACACAAAGCCGCCGCCGTGGGTGGTGGTTGCTTAGTAATCGGTGGTGGGCAGCTGCTCGTGGGAGTGGGAGA